GTAGGATACTAACTAGTGAAGTAGGAAGCTCACTAACAAGTGTAGTAGGAAGCTCACTACCTAGTGATGTAGGAAGCCCACTAATATGTGCAGTAGGAAGCTCACTAAAAAGTGAAGTAGGATACTAACTAGTGAAGTAGGAAGCTCACTAACAAGTGAGGTAGAAAGCCCACTAAAAAGTGAAGTAGGAAGCTCACTAAAAATGAAGTAGGAAGCTCACTAACAAGTGAAGTAGGAAGCTCACTAAAAATGAAATAGGAAGCTCACTAACTAGTGAAGTAGGAAGCTCACTAACAAGTGAAGTAGGAAGCTCACTAAAAAATGAAGTAGGATACTAACTAGTGAAGTAGGAAGCTCACTAAAAAGTGAAGTAGAAAGCTCACTAAAAAGTGAAGTAGGAAGTTCGCTAACTAGTGAAGTAGAAAGCTCACTAAAAAGTGAAGTAGGATACTAACTAGTGAAGTAGGAAGCTCACTAACAAGTGAGGTAGAAAGCTCACTAAAAAGTGAAGTAGGAAGCTCACTAACTAGTGAAGTAGGAAGCTCACTAACAAGTGAAGTAGGATACTAACTAGTGAAGTAGGAAGCTCACTAACAAGTGAGGTAAAAAACTCACTAAAAAGTGAAGTAGGAAGCTCACTAACAAGTGAAGTAGGATACTAACTAGTGAAGTAGGAAGCTCACTAACAAGTGTAGTAGGAAGCCCACTAACTAGTGAAGTAGGAAGCCCACTAAAATGTGCAGTAGGAAGCTCACTAAAAAGTGAAGTAGGAAGCTCACTAACAAGTGAAGTAGGAAGCTCACTAACTAGTGAAGTAGGATACTAACTAGTGAAGTAGGAAGCGCACTAAAAAGATAAGTAGGAAGCGCACTAACAAGTGAAGTGGGAAGCGCACTAAAAAGTGAAGTAGGATACTAACTAGTGAAGTAGGAAGCTCACTAACAAGTGAAGTAGGAAGCTCACTAACAAGTGAAGTAGGATACTAACTAGTGAAGTAGGAAGCGCACTAAAAAGTGAAGTAGGAAGCTCACTAACAAGTGAAGACAATTTCTGTCATTGACTATTAAGTTCTATAAGTGTATCCACTGGCTGCAGTTTAATATGGTTGAACTTAATGATTTTACTTCTAATATGATTTAATTTTTGTAATAGCCATGATAGCCATGATACTGTCCTGATGTGAATTGTGATCTCTTTTTTCCCTCTGTCTCATAAACTGTGATGAACTTGTCCATCTCTCTGTTGTAAGCTACAATCCTTTGTTCGTTTGTTTATTGTAAACTGTTTATCCATCTATTTCCTTGTGCATTAGTCTGTCATCAAATGCAATCTTTTTTCTTCATCTATTTATCAAACTGTTTCATCTGGCAATCTACTGTCTGTTGTAACAGTTTGTCTGGTGATCCCCTGTCTGTTGTAACAGTTTGTCTGGTGATCTCTGTCTGTTGTAACGGTTTGTCTGGTGATCTCTGTCTGTTCTTACAGTTTGTCTGGTGATCTCTGTCTATTGTAACAGTTTATCTTGTGATCTCTGTCTGTTGTAATAGTTTGTCTGGTGATCTCTGTCTGTTGTAACAGTTTGTCTGGTGATCTCTGTCTGTTGTAACAGTTTGTCTGGTGATCTCTGTCTGTTGTAACAGTTTATCTTGTGATCTCTGTCTGTTGTAACAGTTTGTCTGGTGATCTCCTGTCTGTTGTTACAGTTTGTCTGGTGATCTCTGTCTGTTGTAACAGTTTATGTGGTGATCTCTGTCTGTTGTAACAGTTTGTCTGGTGATTTCCTGTCTGTTGTAACAGTTTGTCTGGTGATCTCTGTCTGTTGTAACAGTTTGTCTGGTGATCTCTGTCTGTTGTAACAGTTTGTCTGGTGATCTCTGTCTATTGTAACAGTTTATCTGGTGATCTCTGTCTGTTGTAACAGTTTGTCTGGTGATCTCTGTCTGTTGTAACAGTTTGTCTGGTGATCTCTGTCTGTTGTAACAGTTTGTCTGGTGATTTCCTGTCTGTTGTAACAGTTTATCTGGTGATCTCTGTCTGTTGTAACAGTTTGTCTGGTGATTTCCTGTCTGTTGTAACAGTTTATCTGGTGATTTCCTGTCTGTTGTAACAGTTTGTCTGGTGATTTCCTGTCTGTTGTAACAGTTTGTCTGGTGATCTCTGTCTGTTGTAACAGTTTGTCTGGTGATCTCTGTCTGTTGTAACAGTTTGTCTGGTGATTTCCTGTCTGTTGTAACAGTTTGTCTGGTGATCTCCTGTCTGTTGTAACAGTTTGCCTGGTGATCTCTGTCTATTGTAACAGTTTATCTGGTGATTTCCTTGTCCATCTGTCCGTCTGTCTATTCTGTTCTTTTCTATTCTATTCTTATCTAAAAATTATATAGTGGCAATAATTATAATACATGATACCTTTATTATTTTAAAGTTACTTAAAGTTTTTTTTCAAAAGATATATTTTAAGATATTCAAACCAGTTGAAATAATCGAATATATACCCTGATCGCACTGTCACTGAGTCAATAAGGAAGTGCTTTAGGAATAAGTATGCTTAACCAACAAATAACTTTCTACAGACTACATTATGTACATTGTAATATCTCTATTACATTCCTTTAGGTATTGTGAAATCCTTTTCTTCTTGACCCTTGTGAGGATTTTCTATTGCAGAACTAGACCTGTATACCACATACTATGACTAATATACCATAGGATAATAAGACTAAGGTTTTTGATTCAAGCAGGTATATATGTATGGGATAAAGCTACTAATCCCTCGGAAAGGAAACCTGTGTTGTTATAGTATTTGTTTAGCCAACGGAGCAGTGCAACTGTGTGCTACTTAATACCGCTGTGTTTACTCAATGACGTAGGTATAACACACCTGTGTATCTGTCCACCAGACATCCACTTGACCACTCAGTTTAAGGCCAACAACTTTACATGCATGGTCAGCGAACAACTTACAAATTGTCATGATAAATACTACCTGACTGTAAAAATCTTGGATCTATTCTCAAAGTAATACAGTTAGTTAGGGATGTTTGTGATGTTTTCCTTTATATGTTCTTGTTTTTTTCTTTTGATATTGATAAGTAAACCCTTGTATCAATAAGAATATTTGCATTTTCCTATACATGGAAAGCTGATATGCCAGTCCTGTCAAAATAAAGTGTTTAGGTGTCTCCACATGTAACAGAATCTGTCACAATCTTTACCAAGGCATCAGGAAGTTGAGTACAAGATAACTTTGTTGTTATTTTTTTTTTGTTACTATGGATATGTTTGAATGTTTGAAAAATACACTTTCCAAATTTGAATCCTTACATTAGTAGTACGATACTGTCAATCACATATTTTTGTTGGAATTTAAGTTAATGGTTTTACAAGAAAAAGTTTCATAAAAAGTTATTTCTTGGTTAAGTCTAGCTCATGAAATCCATTAATACTAAGAAGCCATGTCAATTTTTATCGGTTTTTCTTTTTCTGGACATACAAATTTGCAGATAAAGTGTCAACATGACTTCAACAGAAATTATTTTTTTTCTTATTTTGATAACTTTGGTTAGATGGTAGTTGTGATATCACTTTTTTAGGTCATCTGACCGAAGGATCTTATGACCTATTGCAATCGCCTTTTGTCCGCCGTCGTCCGTCGTAAACATTTTCAACTTCTTCTCAAGTTCAACATATCTCATTGAGCTGAAACTTACCTGAAATGATCGTGACATGATCCTGACCAAAGTTTGTTAATTTCGGGTTGGTCCGAAATCCAACATGGCCGCCATCTTGAAAACACATTTTCAACTTCTTCTCAAGTTCAAAATTTGAAATCTTATATTTTATGTCAGATGACCATTAAGGTCCATGGGCCTCTTGTATTTTTTTACTCTATTAATTCCTCAGCAATTACACTAGCATACTATATGCAACAAAATTGTAATAACAGGCTTTATCTCGGGTAGATAACACTTAAGTTAGAGGCACGCAATCCAGATATATTTCATTTTTCAGGTTATAAGCCGCACCAGCATATAGACTGCAGAGCCAATTTTTACCGATTTTTTAAAATTTGATCCATATGTTAGCTGCACTAAAATATTAAACTGCACCCTTTCTTACAAAGTGGTAACTGTTATGTTGACCAAAGTTTGTTGATATAACGGACAACGGAGAGCAATTTATCAAGATTGTTGGTGAAACATTTACCACATTTTCTGGGTTTTAAGCTAAACTGATATATAAGCTGTATCCTTTCTAACGATATGGTGACCTCTATTGTTGACATTTGATATACGGTGCTTTTTATAATCCAGAAAACATGATATCTTTCTGAACAAATCTCTAGATATTGCAGAATCCTCTTGATCAAAATCCAAAAATTCTAAACAAATTCTTGGAAGTTAAAAATGATGAAAATGTTGTTTCAAATCAGCACAAGACATTTTCTATCTATACACATAAATGTGATAATTCCTTAATGGTGAACATTTTATATTGTTTTATTGAATGGCCTTGTAACTTGAAATGAAATTATTGTCAACATCAAAATATTTCTTTGTGGTGTGGCCTGTTTGGACAAACAAAACTTGTGGAAGTACCGCTATATAGTTTTGCCCAAATTTGGTTTATATTATTCTCAGGTGAAGGGGAATCAGTTCTGTATAAATGATACATTTTGGCCCCCTAGTGGGAGGGGAGTGGGCCCAATTGGGGAAAGGTTAGTTCATAAAAATCCTTTTTCCATTCAAGGATATTGTTGAAATTTGGTAATTTTTATAAATAGTGAACTTGACTTTTGTTTGCCCACAAGACTGGGACTCGAGATGAAAATAACATCAGAAATTGCTTGTCATATCTAAATTATTTATTAAATGGTTGAATAGCTAAATTAGCCAGATGAGTGATGCTGGCCTGTTGGGCCTCAAATTATATAATGTTAACAATATTGAAACTTTTCCAAAATCTCCATTAAGAAAAAAAAATTACAAATTTTACACTGAATATTACGTCCCTAAAAATTCAGATGATATTCTCAAGTCAATGCCGTTACTGTCCAATAATTCTTTCAAATTATTTACTTCCTGTCGCAATTTCTCACTTTCCATTTTAGATTTCTTTAATTCATCTTTCAGTTTTTTACATTCTTGTCGACTTGTTACATTGTCTGATTTTAATTTTTTACCTTCATCTTTCATTGTCTTCATTTCCACTTTATACTTCTGATTTTCAGCTGTCAGTTTCTCCTCAATTTTTTTAAACTTTTTTGCTTCCTTTTTCATGGCTAATACTTCCACTTTTGTATCGGTGAATCTTTTCTCTATGAGCTGCGGTATAGAATATTCTGTGTACATTTCCTCTTCATCATCTAATCCAAGACATTTCCAGCAACGTTTTGCTAGTTCATCCAACAAGTCTGAAATTTTTGTCATGAGAGTCTCATAATGAAGTGAATCTAATTTGAGTTTTCCCCCTTTTGGCCCCTTTATAAGTGGCATCAGATGATCAGATATAATTTCTTTAAGAGATTTCTCAACAGCCTCTGAGGGGCTCTCAGTAGGGGAAATATTTGTCACTTCTTGAAGCACAATGGGAACAATTGTCTCTGATAGCACCTTCAATATATAGTCCTTGTCACGAAGAATTTCACCATTTAATCTCATTCTTTCCTCAACAGCGTTTCTGATTCGTTGAGTGTCTGTAAAACAAAAGAAAAATAAAAACTTTTACCCTCTAAATAGTGATAGGAACAATAGTCTAAAAGTTACAATGAACCATATACCTTGGTATATGTAATGCTCCCCTGTGTACAATCATCTCTTTCAGAATCACTAACAAATTAAAAAAGAGGCCTGTTGAGTCTGCATCAATGCTACAAAAGGTGCATATGGGGGACTGACTGTGACAACTAAATTTACTAGATTCTAATATTTCATAAGTTCTGGAAAATACTTGAAAGCTATGTGTAAAATCCCACTATGTCAAAAGAATGTATTTTAAAAACTGAATCTTTGGATTTTTTTTCACCAAATAGTCTCTTAAGAAATGAAAGATTTCCTTGTTATGATTCTTGTTGTGAAGGGAAACTTACAATCCTGTATGTTGAGTTCTGCCTCCATCTTTTCGCTGATCCACTGGTAGTCGCACTTCAGAACTTGTACAAACTGTCGGAATGCACGAGGTCCACGACGGGGCAAGATCTCCATCAAGGTCACGACCTTGTCCTGCCGAGTTACCTGTTTCTAAAAAGGCACAGGAAATCAGGAACAGTCTCAGTTGGTGGCAGTGGAATATAAATCAGATTCAAGATTTTATCCAAAAACATTAAATGATTTAAAGTCTCATCCGCTATTTATTGTATCCACAAGTCTCTAAAGGGACTTAAATTTGGTCGTCTTTGTACTAAATTATCTTAGTACATCTTAATATACTGTTATCAATATGTTCTCAGAATAAAACATTATTTACCTTTTGTGTCCCCTTACCCCCAATATCTTCTTTTCAATGTTTGTTTTCATCTGCCCATGGGTCTTTGTCCTTTTTATAGCTTTCTTCCCATCTTATCCAAGTTCCCTTCATTTGTGCTCCCTTCCCTGTTTTCACTGTCCTTCCACTATGACGCCTATTCTTCCTTTGTACCACCTGTAAAACCTCTGTCCCCTGCCCCTCCTGTATCCCTTATCCCTCTCATATTTTTTCCCATCTTTGTCCCCTTCCCTCCATTCTTTCCCACTTCCCTCCCCCTTTTTACCAGCTTTTCCTTTTGTTTATTCATTTTACCATCATTATCACTTTCCTAAACTCTGTGTACCCTGCCCCTCCTGTATCCCTTATTCCTCTCTCATTTTTCCCGTCTTTGTCTCTATTCCTCCCTGTTTTCCCTGCTTTTCTTATTTGTCCCTCAACTGTCACTTCCAAACTTGTGTATCCCTTCTCCCATCCTTTTTCTCTATCTTTTCCCCCTCCTCAACCTTTTTTCTTCCTTTCCTTCCCATGTTCCCTGTGTCTCCTTAGTGTTCCCTTCCCCACCTTGTTTTCCCTGCTTTGTGCTGTCCCTTTTCCCTCCCCAGTTTCCCCCTGTATTTTTTTACTTTTTCCTCTAGCTACCCATTTCCTTTTTCTCCTTTCCTACTTAGATCTACCCTGTCCACTTCATCCTTTGCCAGAATAATGCTGTAGTGATGTGGGGCCAAAAAATTTAAGACTTGTAAGAGTCCAAATCTTTGATCGCACAGTTCCTACATTTCTATAACATGACTTTCTCCTGTGAATCCTGCCCCTCTTCTTCCACTGTCCCCTCCCTCTTTCTCCTTCCATACTTACATCTACCCTCTCCACTTGATCCTGTGTCAGGATGTTGTTGTAGTTAAGTTGAGCTAGGAAAGACTTGGTGGGGTCCAAATCTTCCATCATACAGTTCCTACAACTTTGTAACGTGGCTTTCTCTCGCGAGTCCATCTCAAGTAGAAGCATTAGGCTCCAAATTGATTAATTAAAGGAATGTTCACTAATGCTGACTTTGTACCACTGAACGGCTAATTGTTCCTAAGATGTTTTTGTGAATAACACACTTCCTTAATTGATATGCATTGTACATCAACATCATTCACAGGGTTCATGATCAAAAGGTTGTCAAAGATTGAATTTATTAGTATCCAAAATGAAAAGTAAATCTGAAGTTTATAGAAATATCTGAATGACTTAAAGCTGTTCAGTCTAGGTATTGAAATCCCCATCTGTGGTTTGACTGGAATATACATCTGCTTCTGTCCATTCCATCATTTTTTTTTCTTTTCTAGTCTCCTCTCTCCTGTGGTGAAATAAATGTTCATTACAATTTGTTCTAGATGAGTCGCCTCCTTAATTGTCAGTTCAAGAATATAATAAGGGATTATAATTTGTTCTAAATAAGTCGCCTCCTTAATTATCAGTTCAAGAATATAATAATAAGGGACCAATATTTTTATCATTTCAGAAGGAAATGTGATGATGTAAGTTGTATCAGTTGGAGATTTTGGAGTGAATTTGTCAGGACTCCTCAAGCATGAAAGAAAGTGCTGTGTTTGTTGTTAATCTAAATTGCTTATTATGTTTCCTTTCATGGTTAATAATTTCATAAAAAAAATCTTCAATTTAAGTCATTAATGAAGATATTGTTGATATTTTTTCTCTTAACATGAACCAATCTCATGTTTAGTCAAGCTAGTGACATGAATTAATTTTAAAAAATCAGAATCTTTAAACTGAAGCATTTGCAAAACATGCACTGGTGCATCAAATATTTTTTAGAATATCTTTTGATGGTATGCTTTTTGAATCTAAGAATATGTAGTGTTTTATACCATACGGTAATTATTTTTGTTATGTTTTTTATTGTTATTCTGCCCTTTTTGTGACCTGTAACAAAATTATCACATTTTTGAAAGTATAAGATAGGACATGGATTGAAGGTGTCTTTGAATTATTTTAAAAGTAGGCCAGAAATCAAATATGGCTGCCATGACGTCATAGGTCAAAAATCTTTAAAAAGACATTGTATAAGAACAAACTGTCTATTATATAGTATTCCTTCAATGAAATAATTCGTGGATAATCCATGAGGCTAACTTTTTCTTTCTTCATCTTATTACAAAAGGAGTCCAATAGGTCATTATTTAGGTCAGAGGTCACATATTTTCAATTTTTTTTTCTTCTTATTCTGGGTTAGTTCTTGCACTTATTGATAGAGGATGTAAATTGAATGAATTTGATGTCTTCAGATTTTATGTACCCTTTACCGTTCAGGGTGTATACCTTTTTGAATTTTTCCTTTGATCTTTGTAAAATGCTGACAGCTTTTCTCTAATGTCTAAACACATTCAATTATAATGCAAAGTTTTCCCCAGATGCTGCACTACATGTGGTTCCCTTTTCAACTTAATTGAAAAATAAAAATGGCTGCCACGACGTCATATTCATTCTTTTTACCTAAATTACTATAATAATGGTTCAACCTATAGAATTAGTCTTGGACCTAGTTTTTAAATTAACAGAAAGCATTTTCCAAGTGAATCATTTTAGCATCAAACCTAAATTGGTTATGTGGTTAATATTAATGATTGGATTTTTTTTTCCCAGTTTAAACCCAAAATGTAAATTATGTCAGACCTATTCATTCGCTGTTTAAGGCCGAAAGCATCATAGTTCTTAAATCACAAAATTACTTATAAACTGATTTTATACCCAAATATATGCATAGTGACGTGCTACAGTGCAAAAACAAGATTTTTTTTTCTTTCTCTGCTTTCTCCTCCACTTTTCTTCTTTTCCTGTTTCTCTTAATAATGTAATATATGTGTATGTCTTTTTTATCAACTGATGCAAGTTAGCGTACATGTGAGCTGTGTGAGGTCTGAGTGAATATGATATGTTATGAATGTAATTAATACCATATATTGCTGAAAATTCTGAATAAAAAAGAAAAAAAATATTAATGATTGGACACAGAATACAGCTTAGCCATGACATCTCCCTTTCCAGAGCCAGGTAATCTGTTTCACTTTATATAATGTGCAACCTATATCAGGTTTTGGAGATTACATTTCACCTTGGCGAAGCTAAGGGATAACGGTTGCAGATTTTGTAAACAAAGTAAATAAGATCGTTATTTAAAATAAGGGTAGAAAAACATGATGGCCACTCAGCACAGATATTAACACAGATATCAGTTGCATAAAATTTGTGCTACATACACTATGATCATGATTGTCGGCTATTATGGAGAACGTAAATAGTCATAATTGGAAAAAAATACAGAACAGTGTACTTTTTGTTTCCAGTAGGTATTTACATCTGATTCTAAATAGAACTTGTGAAACAGATTGAAGTAATTGTAAAGAAACTTTGAAAAAAGTTGGCTTGAGGTTAGGCCATGTTTGTACTTTTTGAAGCCAAAATTACTGGGTAGGTGTACTTTTGTAAAATTGAGTGGTATAAATGAGTAAAACATTATTATGCTCCCCATTACACTCTTTTGCATAATTTAGGAGTTATTGCCCTTTGTTAATTTTTCATACTTAAACAATAAGGAGATAGTCATTATACAGTAACCGCTGAAAAACAAACCAAGAAAGGCCACTAAAGGCAAGCAAGGAGGGGCAGTGTTGGAAAAATCCTAGCAGCTGATCAGTCATAAAGTGGAGAAAATGAAATTTAATATGAGAGTTCGTACACGTGTATTGGGAAAGGGCGAGAATATTGGAAATCCTTGGTAAGTGGTACAAAGATGGGTGTAGGTATTGAATATGGATACTAAAGTTATGGTATGTATTACTGCAATTAAAATATTTATTCCATTCATACAAAATGATGTCATTAGTGATCAGGTTTGGTAATATGAATAATCACCAATTTTTGAGGTCACATGTGTCATTTGTGTTAAAATCTTTAAATGGCTTCTTCTCCATAATCAAGAGACACAGGCTGATGATAATTGGTCAGTTTTTAAGTGTGGTCACTTGATCTCAATAGGAATAAGAAAAATTTATGTAAATTATGAATGTCCAGTTTTCATGAAGTGTCAAAGGTCAACTTCTGATATTCTAAAGGGGTCACATTTAGAGAGTAACACACAAAAAAACTTACCTGATGTTGTACAGTCTAGAGTCTAGATATGTAGTACATAAATTGTTTGTATGGTTGGCTATCGTGTTTGCGGAAATTATTGATCTTAGGAAAGATGCAGGTGAAAAGCTCATCAAATTGCTATCCAACAATTTCTAGATATATTTCATTTTGAGTTTCAGAGTCCATGACTAAAGCTTACCTACCCTTTTCAAAAGTAAAAAACCTACAACTTTTTGATTCACATATATGACTGGCTCCTGGCCAAGTTATATGGTTATTACTGTAATGTCAGTAAGTGCAGTACTGCTGTTGGTGCCAGTATCTATCTATATGTATACATTCTAGATATATTTGGATGTCAGGTTCTATAAAAACATGAACCATTATGGTTGTATAGACATTTCATTTTCTACTACAGAATCTCACTGTAAGATTTTACATGTAATTTGATCTTCAGTATTTAGAATAGTATGTACATGTGTCTGATTTCTGTTAGATTGGCATGTTCTCAGCTAGACACTGTCTGTTACACATGTATTGTGTAAAAAGGTTTCATTTGTAATACAAATATACAGTATAAATCACACATCCCTTAATTATTATTCTACTTAACACAAACAAACAAAATGATATAGGAATAGAACTGATGGTCTCTTGATTAATTACTTACCTATTAGCTAGCATTCTGTATAGTTCTTTATTACAGACAAAAAGTTATTTTTGTGTTGAAAATGGTGATAGTGAAGTGTCACTTCAAACCCATGGCCATGGTGAAGTGACCCCCCCCCCCCCCACCCCCCACCCCACCCCCCTGCTCCACCCTAAATTTCCCCATCCCAGACATAGTTTTTGTTATTAATGTGTTTATATAATTGAATCAGGGTGAATAGCAACAAAAAATAGTGAAAAAAGTTAATTAGTAAGAAAATAGTGTAATGCTTCACTTTGAGCCCCCCACCCTAAATTTCCCCACCCTGTTTTTTTCGTTTTGTTTCATTATGTATTGAGGAACATAAAAAGTAAGGTGAAGAAACAGCAATCGAAAAAATATAAAGTGGTTTCACTTTACCATGGGGATGAAATGAACCGCTGTTCACTTTACCACGGGCTTCACTTTATCATATTACAGGTGTACCCAAAGCCTATGTAGTTGGTGGTAAAGTTTGAACTGCATGTATACTAATGAATATCTACAATTTGTTGGCAAGGGATATATTGGTAACAATTTGTGAATGAATGTCATATCTTGAGAAATCCAGAACAGATGCTTCTATACTTCACAGTAAAATCTTGAACAGATTTTCATGCCACCTGAGACAAAGTGTCATGATGAACTATTGCATCACCTGAGACAAAGTGTCATGATGAACTATTGCATCACCTGAGACAAAGTGTCATGATGAACTATTGCATCACCTGAGACAAAGTCTTATTGAAATTGTCTTTTGTCTGACTCATGCGTCCGTAAACATTTGATGATTTTTTCGAGTTTTCGAAAACCTCTGAACCGATTTCAATGAAATTTTGCAGAAACCTTCCCTAGCTAAAGTGAATTATATAATCCCCACACCCTTGGGGCCAGAGGAGTGGGGACAAAGGCTCAAGCTTCAACTCAACTCCTAGATATGGTAGAATTAGTTGCTCTTAACAACTACAGGATCTTAACGTTATACCAAAACTGTGAATTTCATGACCCCAGTGCCAACATTTCCCCTGTACTTACCGGAAAATTGGATTTTTCGTAATAGGGTTGTCGATTTTCCATTGGAAATAATTTGGTAAAAATTATAAGTATAGGATGAAAGTTTGGATAGTATGCATATATTGGCACTTGCAAACCCCCAAGGGATTAGAATATATCACTTAAATCTTATTATCATCAATGACACAATTTATTTTTCATGACACTTCACATTACTTACACTATAACCTTTATATTCAGGAATGTTTACCTCAGACAACTGTCAAGGCTGGTAGGCCTCTTGTTAATCTTTAGTGTTAATTTGCATAAAGTTAGCATCTACATTGACAATGACAACCTAGCAGGGACTAGTGTGTCCTCATAGATGTTACATTTGTACTATAGTCAGTACTTTATGAAATGTTACTGTTTCTGATGAGATTTAACATGAAAACTGATATTTTTCACTTACCCTTAAATCAACTGCCTCAGTCACAGAGCTTCCGTTTATGTCTGTAAACAGTATGGAAATAATGTGTTCACTTTGTAGTTAGATGCACGATTAGAGTGTTCTCCCCATGGTTTCCATTGTCATTGATGAGCACACCATTTAAACAGTATTGTTTTACATATTGTCCTCACTATGAAGTCTACCTTACATATTATTGGTACCCCAATGGTTTAACTAGGTAGATCTATATCTAACACACAAAATCACCACAGAACCTAATCACAGCTGACCGAACAGCTACACAAATTAAATCCTAATAGGTTTTTAACTGTTTTTTACATACTGTGGTTAGATCTATGTACCTTATAATAGCTGTGATATTTTTTGTTTCTGTCAATGGATAACAAGGATTATCAAGGATTATTTTACTTGTGAAGCTATGGATTAAATTTCATACACCAGATTTGTACAGCTTAACATGTAAAGCCTTTATTGTATTATATATACCTGATGTTGCATAATACAAAAAATTAAGACATTTAAAAAAGTTAACATCAATTTATTTTCCACACTCGATTATTGAATTTGACAATTTGGCACAAAATATAGGTATCATTAATTCTCATTGACAGTCCTACAATTAATAATTAGTGCCCAGGTTCAGGAAGGAAATAATCAGACTTGTCATTTAAGTCGGTATTTTGACTCTACCTTGGAAGAGGTATAGAAAGAACAGCATGAAAGTATTGATTATATACTGGTGATAAGAAAGGCAGATTATAATCATAAAAGCAGATTTCAATAAAATCCCTTTCAGTGAAGAAATGTTCTTTAGGTCAACTCTGATATATTTCAATCCAATGGTTTAATTTGCCATGTTTAACAGACACAAATAGACAGTTTTCTTTGTCGAAAAGTATGTTTTTTTTTTAAACCCAAAATTAAGAAATATTATGATTATTTTCTGTTATCTTTAGAGAAGACAGGGTATATGTCTTATTATTTCTACATACATGGTACATCCTATTCAAACTGGTAAAACTCCAAGGACCTGAGTAACTGCAGCATTAAAACCATATCAGCTGTAGAATCGTTGATTTGGAGACCTTACAGACTCGAATATCAAGCTGTCACAATGGAAATAGACTTGATGCTTTTTTTATGCCTCTGCAGGATGAATATATAGCATTTTTGGTAGATTCCTTGTCAAGTCTTCAGAACAAGTAATAAGCAAGTTCATATAACCACATGTAGAATGTCAATACAGAAGTTATTACATTAAACAACTGGATGTATTTATCTCACTAAATTTACAAATTTTGTCAATTTCATTAAATGGGTCATATTGTCAATTTAGTAAATGGGTCATGTTTCTCAATTCATTAAACAAGTGACGTAGTTAATTCTCTAAGTAGGTCATGCTGTCAATTTAATAAGTGGGTCATACTTTTCATTAATTCATTAAACAAGTGATGTGGTCAGTTGACTAAGTAGGTCATGTTGACAATTTAATAAGAAGGCCATATTTCAATTCAATAAGTAGCTAGGTTATGTTTTCAATTATTAAATAGGTCATGTTGTGAATTCAATAAGTGGGTCATGTTGCTATTTCATTAAGTAGGTAATATTGTGAATTCAATAAGTGGGTCATGTTGCCATGCAGTTCACTTAAGTAGTTATTTTGGCAATTCAGTACGTATGTGCCGACCATGTGGATTAATTACAGATTAAATGGTAACTGTTTCTTGGTTTGATGTCATAACCTGATGTAGTAGTTTTGTTGATATATGTAAGACCCAATTGTTATTTCTTTGACAGAAGACACAAGCATGTAATAAAAAACAAAACATGATGCAGTATTATAAATAAATTTTATTTGATAAAGAAGTGTAGAAATAACATAGAAGTAATGACAAAAAAAGAGATCTAAAGGTGATGCTAACAGCATTAAACAAGTGTAGAAACGTTTTAACACAGAGTCAGATCAGTCTCATGTCTCATACACAGAAATCAATCCTGACTCTAAAACTTTGGCACATTTGAATACTATCACAGCACATCAACATTAAAACCTGAAAACTTCCATCAAGAATGTCTTTTTGTTCAAAATGTCTGGAACCAGTCTCTAGGGTGAACTATCATGGATAAATTTCACTACAGAAACAGTGATCACTGTTATTGCGTTTTAATTTCTTTTTTTACCTAAAGTGAGAAGCTCTTAGGAGTTTCGACAGATGATTGTCTCTCTTGGGATAACCAAATTTAAAATACATGTAAAAAGATATCCAGTCTAATTTTTCAGATGAAAAAGCTGATACCTTTTTGAAAGCAAGTCATCTTGCATAACCTTTTTCAACTGTTTTATCAACTCACATATTGACTATTGTTCTACTGTATGGGGAAACAGCTCCAAAACAAACACTTTAAAATTGGAACATCTGAAAAAGAGAGCAGCTAGAATCATTTTGAACTGTGATTTTTACTACACCTTCCTGTGATATGTTCAAAAGGTTAAACTGGTCATCTTTAAGCAAAAGAGTTTTATATAACCAAGCACTTTTTATGTACAATATTCTTAACAATTTAGCTCCACAAAACTTGAATGATTTTATGTATATATCTGATGTACAGACCAGGACAACTAGATCCTTATCTACCAATGTGTTTTATTTACCATGTCAGAAGTCAAACATTATTAGATCTTTTAGAAACCAAGAATCCCAGACATGGAATCTTTTACCATGTCATATCAGAAACTGCTCATCACTTTTAGAATTTAAGAGGTCTGCAAAGCAGTTTTACTTGAACTGACTTGATATCTTTTCACCTGTATGTCCTGTTTTTTAATACATATGTTTCTTCAGGTTGTAAATATTGTACATTTTAATATGTCTTGACCATATGGAAGGTGAGCTCTATGCTCAATATGTAATCAAGAATAAATAAAGACGATTATTATTATTATTATTATCAAATGACTTACGTTGTTGATAGCATATTAAACAGTATAAAACCAGGTATTGAATATTTAAGTTTCTGGATAAGCTGAGGCTCCAATGAAAAAATTGGTTGAGATGTTAGTATTTCAAGAAAAAAATAGAAATAAAATGTCTAGCACTAGGTACAGATAAAACAAATCAACATATCATTTTCAAAAAAAGTTTGTCATATACAGAAAATCAAGTCATTATATACAAAACAGATATATACGTACCAATATAATATTTGTGTGTATTACATATGTAATACAACCTAAATTGTTGTTTAGGTATTAAAATGATGTCACACACTCCCAGATTGCATTATGACATTGCAATTATAGATAAATAGTCAAAATGACTTCATTAAGTTAAGTTTTATCCCGACATCAATTTTCTACAACATTTGCCTGAATAATTGATCATGTGATTAAAATGTTCTTAAATACGTTTCAATAATATTTGTGATTGATGAAACTTGTCACCAATTTCTATGCTCCCCGTAAAATTTTGAGGGAGCATTTTAAATAGTCACCCCTTTATCTGTCCATCTGTGCGTTTGTCCTTTCGCATCAGAGCATAACTTTGCCCACAATGAAGCAAGGATTATGAAACTAGTGTACACATTGAATGTCAAGGAATAATGGTATATTATGTGTTTATTGCAAGAATGAGAATTTACTTTCACCAGCTTATTTTGAATTCTAATAAAGAAGATTGCTTGTTCTTTAAATTTCAAAACTCAGATTTTTTTATAGAAATCCTTCTCTGACAAAAAATACCTTGAATAAACTTATTTTTCATTTCATGTTATTTCTTGTCACGAAATTAAAGTTTTGAAATTATGAAGAATTTAGAGGATTAAAAGAGATTTCTATTTCTAGTTGTAATCAATTTTGAGTCTTCCTGAAAGAACAGGGCAAACTGATAACTATGGTATCATCAGATTATTTGCTGATGTTTTATGAATATGATTTGTTTTATCGGTAGATTGTTACATTGATATCCATGTTGTATGGAGTGGATTTCAGTAGTCCAGTAATGATATAACTTGTGGTATAAGGCTCCTGTCTGAATATCAGGTCATTGAATTTGTCTGAAGTAGATTTAAAGTGACATGGATTCTTGTGAAAAATAGGACTCCGTCCAAGCAATAGATAAGTGGAATGCACTGTATGTGTAAACATCAAGAAAACAGAATGATCTGTTAAGTTGATCAATAGCTCTGTTCGTATTCTAGAGAGTACAAGTGAATATTTGTAAGATTTAACTGACACAGGATGAAAATTTATAGCTGATTGTTTTGCAAAATGTAATGCTATGCTTCATTAATGACATGGTTGATTGGTAAATGACAATGTTATGGTTGATTGACTCGATAATTACCTAAGTTATTTGTTGGTTTTCTCCTTGTTGGTTGTCGAGCACGTGTAGTAGATAGTCCTACGAAACGTCCGTTTTTCGATATTTGTCGCCGTGGTGATCGAGAATCTTGTTCTGTCAGTTTCTTATTTAAAGTATCATTTTCCTCTTGAATGATGCGTTGACTGGTTTTGAGACCTTCCACCATTTCCTTGAGGTTTGCTAATGTCTTTTCTTTTTCCATATGTTGTTTATTTATCCCAGTTACTCGGTCAATTTCTTTTTGCAATGAAATGACCTCCCTTTGAAGATTTGTCACCTGATTTCTTTTAACCTCTAGTTCAACATCTCTTAACTGAGACTTCTGTAGTACTTTTTTGTAGTTCATTGATAAAGTATAGAATTCATCTGTTATTTTTTCTGTCTTTGTGCGTTCATTCTCAAGGAGTTGGTCGTTTGACATTAATTGGATAGCCAATCTGTCAATATGTTTGGAAAGTGGTTCGGTCCTATCTGTGTCATTCAGCAAGTCGTAACATTGTGATATTTGATCTTCCACCTTCTCTAAACGTTGAAGAACTTTGTCAATTTGAAGCTTTACCATAGCAAATGTCATGGAAGACTCTGTGGCATTCTGATCAGGGGGAGACAACTCATCCCCAACATGTAAAGCATTCATATGCACATCCATCTTTATATAACAGTCAAACAGATTCTTCTTCACAACACCTGATGATTCAAAAATATCCGGGCTTTCTATTTCATCTTCATTGGTTGTGGAACTTGACATTGTGCGTTGTTTTTCTTGTTCCAACTTTGCCTGCTGCATAATGAATTGTTCAATTGCACGTTTATCTGCCTGTGATAGCTTTCTATTGAGTCCGAAATTGCGGTTCATAAAAGTTGTGACTCGGGAGCGTATTTCTAATCCTTCTTCCTCATCACTTGGTGATCCTAATGACATTAACCTAGGAGAGCTGACACCTGTAAAGAGAAAATAACTCTTGTTATATTTTAGTAAATAATATTGTTTCATCATTACTATATTTTAGTTCATATATTGTCACCTAACCTGGCATCAAAATGATATATGGATGGTGATGAGGGAAAGGAAGGCCAACCTATTAGTCTAATATATAGGCATAGAAATTGAATTACTATCAAAATCAGAAAATGTACTTTTATCTGTTGACTGTGGAGATTTGACAACTGTGGTTAAGGTTGATCAGTTTGGATCTGGGAAAATTATACTGATATCTTTTGAAATGTATTTTTTGTCCTTAAATAACTTTAAACCTTAACATACGTTCCCAAGATATCATAGGCTTCTGACTGATCTCATAATTGTGATCACAGAGGGAGTATGTATAAGGGAGTACATTTTTGATGTGCTGTGAATGGCAGGTATACAGTCAAAACTATTACAGCTTGGAAGAACAATCCTACAGGAAATTCACCAGGTGGATAGCAAAATTATTGCTTGTCTGTCACACATCACCTTTGAGTTAAATTGATATACTTATTTACTGTTTTAGTTGACTCATGAAATACATTCATAATACCAGCCACATCTACTTTATGTAAACTTATAGTTGGGAGTTTCCTGAGTGATAGATTCAAATATTGTAATAAAAATAACTTATAAATCAGCTCCACAGGAAGTTAAAATCATTTTGTAAGAATGTAGACGTGCTCTTAAAATTACCTCCTTCTGTCGTGTCAAGCTTTGGGAGAATGAGGCTTGGCCGAGGTGTGGATTTAGATAGCTCAAGGCTATCCTGGAGACTGGACACTAGCCAGTGATAATCTGGCTCAATGATTCGTAAGAATGTGTCAAAAGCATCTGGGCCCCGTGTGGGGAGGAGACTCAGCAGTTTGTAGGTAGGGGATTGATCAGCCTGTAAATAAGGAAGGTAGATCATCAATGTTTAATACAATAAAATGATTGTCACATAATCTTAATGAAATGGACATCCATGTCAGTTTTAGATCCATGATAAAATATGTATCTAACTTTTAAAATTTGCCCGCAATTATTTATACAAACTGGGGATATGCTGTTGGTTATGAAATTAAGATTACTTTGAAATTCTTTTTCTGTGTGTGAAATGAGCTCCGTGTTTGTCCAACCTCTGGATTTTGGATGGATTCCTCCAATATTTCAGGAATGCTCATGGTGAAAATTCTTTTATTGATTGAAAAGATCTTTCTTTGTGTTGTGTTATGGTGTTCAGCAAGAGAGAAAAAAAACAGCAACTTAAGTTACTATTCTAAGACCTATTAAGACTTGTTATTTTTCAGGTAAATCTGTTTTCCACTAAACTGAAACCGTGTTTATAATGACACTCCTAATCTAGTGTTATCAAACTCTAGCCATCTGGTCAGTTACAAGCAGGAAATGAAGGAATGACATTTATATTAGGTCTTCATTATATAAAGATGTTTAATGAGAAATACGAGTCTAAAAACTAATTCCAGAGTTGGACGCTTGTTGAAGATTCTGAGATAACTAGCATTACAGAAGCATCAGTAGTTTTGTTAATGAAGGCCTCGGATACTGTTCTACCAAAATGACAATTGATTTATGTACTTGATCAGGATAACATGGTTATACATGTATAAGCTGGTTAAAGGTAAGGATTTATTGCTTACCTGTGTGTTTGTTTAACTGTACTCTATACAATAGTTCACAACAATCAATCAAAATTTTGTGGGAAAAAAAATTGAAATATTTTGTTTTGCTTTCTAAATTACATGAAAGATCAAGAAACTTTTGTTAAATATTATATAGAATAGAAAAGAAGCATTAAGATACATATTGCATGATATAAATGACCCAATAGTATGTTAATTGTGTAATATCTCAATCATACAACCTAACCAGACAGAGCTAATAGCCTTAATCATAAAGCTACCTGTTAAAGTGCTGAAATACCTGATATGTAAAGTGTTACAGTTAATTATGTTGTAGTACAATAGTTACAATCATACCCAATTATCAGGACACATTGTCCCTGATTTAAATGTCAACTTTAATACACTGACACACCTAGAACATAGAATTGTTAAATATAGCATTTCAAGAAACAATTTGGCTGTGTCAAAATATTTCACGTGTTTGTAAATGTACACATTGTCTATGTGTGGACCATTGTGTTGCTAGTTGTTCTCAGTATATGTGACAATGTCTTCACACAGGTATTTATATAATGATATACTTACCCTGATGAGGTCAATCAGGTGGCTGTCAAAGAGTTTGTTCTGGAAACACTCTCCGAGGAAGACATCTGTCACAATAATGTCTCGTGCTAACTCCACATGGTGCTTCTGCAGCACGGCTCGCTGAGCCTCATTCATAATTAACTTTAAATTTTCACAGCAACAGAGGGAAGCTCCTTGAAAAAAAATGTATTGTATTGTGGATGAGTACTAAATAGATAATTTGATATCAGGAGAATTGATAAATTGTTTTGTGAATGTTTGAACTCCATAGTGATTAAATCCTTATAAACCTTCAATCCCTTTCTGATGGTTATCTGCTGGCAGAAGGATATGTTGTATACTGGGTGTGTTGGTTGATGTCTCGGTATGATGAGTGTGAGAAATGATATCTAAGTATCCGATACCAGTGATTATGAAGGACGATAAATGTCTTTGGTTTGCTGGTACCTACAATAATTACCCTAGTTAGATAAAGTGTGGAGCTATGGTAGAGGTACAAATATTGACTTTATATCAAGTTTTATTTAGCACCAAATGTAACCCTCAAATAGTTGTGGATAACCAAACCAAACATAGTGGTGATAATATCAGCACTTTTCATTGAGAACCTATCATAGCATGGCATTTGTTTAGATATCATAGACCACACAGATCTTGTTTACATGTCCTCGTTACATTACATTGAAATCTGAATAAACTCTGTTGTTTGATATAGGATTTCAATTTGTCAGCTGGAAACTACAACATACAAAAACTTTATTTATTTCACGAAATATTTTCAAAATTTGCACTGAGAAAGTAGATGGAAAGTATGTGTTGGTTTTAATCTAAAGTCTTGGGGGTAAACATAGAAGTTACAAGGTAAGGCAGGGTTCTTAGTTCCGATCTGAAGGACTTCAGAAATTATTCTGTTCTAAAATTTCTACCTGCATGCTGTAATCTGCTAATACAGGCAAACTGTTGTCACAATGGAATACTGCAAAATCAGGTACTAACTCTTTAATACTTATGATTATTGTTGTTATTCATAATTATATTTCTGCAAAATCATGAATCAATTTTAATGTGAATTTCTTTGCTTTTGTAAACAAATAGATACTTCATAATTATAACAAAATGTAACTGTTAAAATAACTTAATAAAGAATAGCTTACCTGGGGTTTAGTAAAATATAAGGTTGTATGACCAGGAACTGATTCTATATCCAACATACTGTTACACACTACTTCTCATTACTGTAGGTATATCGACTGTCACAGATACCAGCTTCTGGTAATTTTTAAAAATGATCTCATTATCTAACAAGTACGGTAGCATTGCCGAAACCATGACCCCATGTGGACTGGAGGCCATCTATGGGATAACTAGGTCTTAGTTTAAACCGAACATGAGTTTAAATAGAAATGCATACCTTGACTGAATTACTGAAAATCTATGGTGTGTAAATTATATCATAATGCAATACTTGATACTTAATGCAGGTTTTTTTCCCTGAGAACTCTGTGGGGCCAAATATGGGCGCTATTCATAATTGGATCTGTAATAATGCAAAATTCCCGAAATATTAATTAATCCTTAATTTTCCTTCCCTGTATAACAATTGTCTGGCCAAATTGAAATAAAAGGCCCTTTCCCTTATGAATGGGAACTGATTGTAGAAACAACCCATGGGATTTAAGTATGGAATTAATATTTATGGTCCATTAGTTCAAAATAAAAACCAAAGAATAAATGTTGGCTTAACTTTAACTAGACATTATCATGAATGGTGGTTTATACGTATAGAATATATCCTGTAGAGGGCCCCTGTTCTAAGTGACTTTCTTGGGATTTCCAAGCCTAGAGGTAATAATCATATACATTAATATATACTTATACTTGTAAGTATGAATATTGTGTCCAAGCTGCATGGTAAATCTGCTGTAATTTATTTCACTGTTAGCTCACCTGGTACAAATGACCCTGGTGATAAAATTGTTGTGTGCGTCATTTATTTGGTGGTCAGTAACTTATCCCTGTAACTTGAAATCTCATCAACTTACATGAATTTATCAGTTTGGACTTTGTCCATACATGGTACAAGCTCATTTGATCTAATTACTGTTAATTTTAGCCATTACACATGATAGTTTGCTAAAACTGAAAGCTGTAAGTGACTGAAAACCTGTAGAACTTGGTGATGGTATCTATTATCACTGAATACAAGGAGAGTATCCTTTCAGGACTGGAAATACAATTTTCTGAATGAAAGAGTTAGCAATGCCTGAGTAGGGGAGAAATAAGTAGAACTTATCCTTTCTATCAGACATTATAAAGGGACTGTAGTCATCATTCTGACTCCTACATCCACCCAACTTCTGTTTCAAAATATTACAAGCCATACTGATCCATTTCTTTTACATATATATTTGGAATTGCTTTTCATTTCTGTGTTTTTCTAGATATAAGATAATTATATTCATGTTACCTGGCTTAGCCTCCAGGTTCATCCTCACACCTAATGATAAGTTCCTAACTTGCTAAACGGAAGGATCTTGTTATTTACATCAGACGATGACTATATTCATGTTACATTGATTTGCCTCCTTGTGTTTCCCTCAGACTCCTAGGTCTTAGACGCCTGTCCTCTTGACTAAAAGCGAGAACTGATTTTCTTCTTGGTATCTGAGACAAAAAGTGAGAAGAATAATTTGTAAGTCACTATTGAAAATAATCAGCAATAATTGTAGACATTTTATTCCAGATGACAATTACATATTTCAATCATAGCAAGTATTACTGTTTGTATATGCCTATTGACAATAATTAAGTTAGGTCCTTCCAGGTCTTTAGCTGTTCATAAGAATTACAAACAGACACTAGTTCATGTAAAAAGCCAACTATAGCTTTGAGTCAGACGGATAGAAGTTCACTTCAGTTCTAACTGCATGTCAAAACATTGTGTAATGTATGAACCCATTGGTCATGTCTTCAATTAACTCAATGATAATATTTCACAATTACATTCACATATTCACGAACAGATATCTATCTTGTATTTCTTGAACATTGGAAATCTTGTGATTATTCAGCTCATGGTTTACTAATAGTTCTTGTAAGTCTTAAATATATATAAATACACATGAACTTATCCATCTTATAATTATCTACCAGTTCTAAAACTTGTATGTGTATGCCTTGTTAGATATTGAAACAAAACATCTGAATTTATCTTAAAACATTGTGAGATACATATTGATATTTTTTTATTTGTTGGCAATGCTCCCAAACAGACACAGCATGATATTTACCTAGGCACTGTCATGTGTATTAACTCAGCCGAAGGTTTTTTCGTAGAGACGATCAAGTACGTATTGAATATTGCTGGGATCAGATCATCTTATCAGTTGTTTAAATATTGAGATCAATATCGCCTCTTGTGCTTCTGATATAAGTAATTTTGTCACAGGTTGTAATGTTTTAATGTTGATATCAGTAATACCATTATGAATTGGTTCTTATTTTCTATTGGACCAGGGTAATGGAATTATTAATGAAATAGCCTCAGAACATTGGATAATAAATATATCAATTAAAATTTACATTTGAACAAATAAAACTGAAAAGATTCTCAATATACTGATCTATTGAAACAAACATAACCTTTCTTGTCATTTGGAAATCCCTGGCAATATTGCTGGATGATTTAAATGACAGAATCAGTCAAATTATGTAATGAACATCATCAATGAAGTGTGATATTTAGAAATACAGTATTTGATAACATGAAGTATGATTTTTAAAAGTATATTCAATCTGTGTTATCATAAAGTGTGATACCTGAAAATACAGTCAATCTCTGATATCAGGAAGTGATCATAAAGTGTGATACCTGGAAATACAGTCAATCTCTGATATCAGGAAGTGTGATACCTGGCAATACAGTCAGTCTCTGATATCAGGAAGTGATCATAAAGTGTGATACCTGGAAATACAGTCAATCTCTGATATCAGGAAGTGATCATCAAGTGTGATACCTGGAAATACAGTCAATCTCTGATATCAGGAAGTGTGATACCTGGAAATACAGTCAATCTCTGATATCAGGAAGTGATCATAAAGTGTGATACCTGGAAATACAGTCAATCTCTGATATCAGGAAGTGTGATACCTGGAAATACAGTCAATCTCTGATATCAGGAAGTGATCATAAAGTGTGATACCTGGAAATACAGTCAATCTCTGATATCAGGAAGTGATCATCAAGTGTGATACCTGGAAATACAGTCAATCTCTGATATCAGGAAGTGTGATACCTGGAAATACAGTCAATCTCTGATATCAGGAAGTGTGATACCTGGAAATACAGTCAATCTCTGATATCAGGAAGTGTGATACCTGGAAATACAGTCAATCTCTGATATCAGGAAGTGATCATAAAGTGTGATACCTGGAAATACAGTCAATCTCTGATATCAGGAAGTGTGATACCTGGCAATACAGTCAGTCTCTGATATCAGGAAGTGATCATAAAGTGTGATACCTGGAAATACAGTCAGTCTCTGATATCAGGAAGTGTGATACCTGGAAATACAGTCAATCTCTGATATCAGGAAGTGTGATACCTGGAAATACAGTCAATCTCTGATATCAGGAAGAGTGTGATACCTGGAAATACAGTCAATCTCTGATATCAGGAAGTGTGATACCTGGAAATACAGTCAATCTCTGATATCAGGAAGTGTGATACCTGGAAATACAGTCAATCTCTGATATCAGGAAGTGTGATACCTGGAAATACAGTCAATCTCTGATATCAGGAAGTGTGATACCTGGAAATACAGTCAATCTCTGATATCAGGAAGTGTGATACCTGGAAATACAGTCAATCTCTGATATCAGGAAGTGTGATACCTGGAAATACAGTCAATCTCTGATATCAGGAAGTGTGATACCTGGAAATACAGTCAATCTCTGATATCAGGAAGTGATCATAAAGTGTGATACCTGGAAATACAGTCAATCTCTGATATCAGGAAGTGTGATACCTGGAAATACAGTCAATCTCTGATATCAGGAAGTGTGATACCTGGAAATACAGTCAATCTCTGATATCAGGAAGTGTGATACCTGGAAATACAGTCAATCTCTGATAT